TTTTCTTTATTTCTTTTTAATCAGAAATTAAATTGTTATTTAATTGAAATTGAAATTTTTACGAAAAATAAGAAAATAAAAATAATAAAGAAGAGTTTAAACAAACTAACATGTTGAAATTAAACTTTAATGATAAAGGGTTTACATTCCTCTTAGTAGTTTAAATTACCTATTATTCAGATAGCTCTTGCCTGTAGTTTAAAAGCATTAATACACATGCTCTCACCACCCTATGCAATTAGAACATAAGTAATAGTAGCTTAGCAGAGGGAAAAGTAAGTTACAACAGTAAAACATTCTGCAATAAATTTGTTGCAGCAACCTAAGCTTACTTAGAAACAAGAACTTTTCGTTTTTATTTATATTATTTAATCTAATGAATTACGAAGATCGTGGAAAGTACCATCCAAGTATTTATCGTTCTCGAAAAATTTCCGAGTCGTCTAATGGCAGAAAGCAATAAAATGTAAATAATAAATGTAATGCTTAAGTTCTCTTAAAATCTGTTAATACGTCAATGTTTTCACAGATTTTTTGATAAAATCAGTTTTATGAAGGCTTTCGGAATAAAAGTTTTATGTATGTTTTTTACAAGTAAACAAATTTACGTTTGGCAGACTTCTTTTGAAACATCCTATATTATATCACTATATTCAAAATTATTGAGACCTAAATTATATTTTTCTTTCATTCAGCTTTATTGGAACTTTTACAGTTTTAAGTTTTTGTATCTTATAATGCTTCTTTATCATTACACAGGTCGACAAATCTTAAAACGAAAAATCATAATCAGATTTGCTAAATTAATCACGGTTTTCAGAATATCTTATTGTGAAGTACAAATTGATTCTAATATTTTGGATATTATTGCTCTTCTCAATCAAAATACATTTAATCGATTACTACATGTTTTTTTTCATATCTAAGATATTGGCTCTTGAATTAATAAAATTAATTAATGATTTATTTGATTAACTATGCAAAGTAGACGAATTTAAAGATCACGATTCAGACTGCTAATATTTCGTATGTTAAGGAATGTTCAATATTTATTTGATGAATACAAGACAGAAAATATAGAAAAAAGGGTGTTATTACCACTTTGTATGTAGGTTTGTTGTATGTAAAAAAGTTATTTAAATTTTAAATGCTCCCCGTAAACAAATTTGGAGTCAATACAATGATATACATTTTTTTTATCTTAATAACAATTTTTTTTGCTCATTTATAAATAAAATTAATTCTTGTTGTTGTTGTGGGTACAGAAGAAATTTGTAGCAAAGAGCTTGTTATTTAAATTCTACAAAATCTGCCTTAACTTTTCAAATGTTGGTAATAACCTAAAAATATCATATCTGGATGGTATATGGAGATGTAGGTACGATATGTTTATCATTTTCATATTTTTAAGAATTATTCCTGGACTAGTATGACAGCATCATTCATTTCATGGCAATTATCTCGTTAAGTTTTTCAATTCTACTTTTATAACCAAGGTTATCTTTCAAGAGATAAGTTAGAAGTACCAGAGATGATTTTGAAATTACTTTAACAACAACAAAAAGGTGTTTTAATTGTTTCTAATTTTAGAAAATAGTCTCGATTACACTCGAACAGCAAAAATACATAATCTTTCTAAAAGGTTCTCTCCTCTATTACATCACTGAAATAGATATGATAGTCTTTCTTTAATAGTGTTTATCATTCACCTAGTATGACATAGCTTCAGCTGATGGTTATGAATTGATATTCCATTCTGTGAAATGCTGCCAAGAAAGACCATAGTACTCCAACAATTTTCGGTAATCATTTCACTGTTGTTTTTGCGCAGACTGGTGGTAACCCACTACACCACTGCTTGGTAAATAACCACGGCTGCTTGTCTTGAAAAGTTACTATTATTACCAACAGATCTAATATTAGTGGATGAGTGAGGAATTATTAACGAAATCGTAGTAAACATTGCAGTGTACTTTAAAATGAGATAATTCCCATTTTCCATTTTCTTCGTAACTAAGCCAGATGGATGGGTAATATCTTGAAATACACTTATTTTCAAAGACCAGGATATGGTTATTATACTGGTTGTCAATGTGATTGTCAATTCTGATATTTTGAAAATTCTTGGCTGGAATTTAAGAAATGGTGATATCTATGGTGGCATTGACTATGGATTATGTTATCTTAATTCATTATCATTCACTTTTATGGGAAAAGTTTTTCTCTATCACCTTTAATTTTCTACCTATAACAGAATTTAACGCAGATGATTGTCAATTTTGATATTTTGAGAATTCCTGGCTTGAACCTAAGAAATGGTGATATCTATGGTGGCTATGACTATTGACTATGGATTATGTTATCTTATTTCATTATCATTCATTTTTACTGTGTGGAGTTAACTATCACTACATAATCTTTCTCATTTTGGAAAAAGTAGGTACAAGTTTCGAAATTTCACGCTATACTGTCACCTTTTGGCTGTGTCCAGATCGTCAGTGTAATCTTCGCAGGTTATCAGGTGACCAATACCGATAATTTTGCTTGTTGAGTAAACAGTCCAAATAAAGATGCATCTTCATCTTCTAACATGAAGTTTGCCCGAAGGAGCCTTTGATTTTTGGTAAAAAACGGATACTGTGTGTGACCAAAACAATTCATTTGCTATGAATAGTCTTCTTGAAGAAACAAGGGCAATAAGTATAAGAAACAATGATTGTATAGACAGTACATTCAATAGGTTAACAACACAAATAGGTTGTGGCATTATTTGATGTGCCATATTTCATGAAGGACGTTAGAAACAAATTATTAAAGTATAATTAACAATTTAAAAATGGAAGTGTTGGTTAAAAACGTTCAAAAAGATGGCAAGTGAAAGATCTTCGACTTAAAATTGTGTATTTTGGTTTTAATTTTTCAATAACTGTTTAATTTTACGAGTTTCGATAACTTTTCAACATCGTTTAAGTTTATGTGGTACAAAAATATTATCCTGAAGTTGTGTTTTGTATGAAATGGCTTTTCTTACATGAACCTGATGTTTCCAACTCCTGCGTAATATTAAGCGCTATTTTAAGAAATAAATGAGTTGCCAACAATTCCAAGTTTGTTAGGTTAAAAATATTGAATTATCTGCGCAAGAATCCAATGAAACTAAAACGTTATTTCTATATTTATTGGATGTGTGAAAACTAAATGAGTAAATAAAATCTTTTAAAATTATTTCTTCATTTAACTTTGACTCTCTGTTCATCTCGTTGTGTAGTCATAAATCACCGTGTTTGTGTAGACAGTAAACAGCCATCGATGTTATTAACAAGATGTGACGCGCAAGATGTTATGAAGTAGTTATGTAGTTGAGCAACTAAGTTTTATATGCATACAACTCATTCTCGAGATGTTTTTGTTATAAATTTAAGTTTTCCATTCGGCATTGGGACTTTATATTCAAAATGTTTTGAATTGTTAGTCATAATTATTCTCTTTAAATCTTTTAGTTTGTTCATGTGAACTAGATGTGAGTTATTCTCTTTTAGAGATTCTTTCCTCATCGTATTTTATAGAATTTTTATATAGATTAAAGTCTAAGTAGTCGTTTATTCATTTAAATCTCTTTAATTTAAGACTTTCGGTACTAAAAGAATATTCATCTTTTTCGTTTTGTTTGATAGGGAATTCTTTTCCAATCACGTAACATTCCGTTTTTAATTTCTTCCCAGTTTTCGTGAAATTCTTTTTCTCATAACCTTTTGTGACAACCGTAAAACTGAAAGTCCTTATAATTGCCCTTAAATTGGCTGCAAAAAGTTGGCTTAAAGTATTATAAATGTCTATATTCGTTCAAATATAGACACCCAAATTATAATCTTTAAACTCGTTTTATATAATTGTTTGAATTTTATGTTAACGAAACCAATTAATGTCAAGAGCCGACTTCTCAAAGAGATATTTAAACGATTAAAAACGAATTTTAAAAAGATTGAGTGGTACTTAAAAGATTACCTCTCTAAATAGAACTTCAAACTTAAAAAAAATGAGCATACTATAATATTTATAGAATCACGATATTTTGAACGTGTAAAAAGCATTTTAGAATTAATAAAATTTTTGTCGGCCTGTATTACTATTTTTACTTCGGTGAAGGAACATTCCTTATTTGTAGATAAGAATCGCTTGCTTTATTGCAAACGCTCTTCTTCCGCTTGTACTTAAAGGCTCTGTACACAACCCTACACGAACACTATTACACCTTGAAATTAAAAATAAAACAAAAAAATTATAGAATTTTTAATCATAAATTTTTTAAAATACACTCTCAAAAAATAAATTTCTAAACATGTCTTTTTTTCTTTTTCTAAGGTAAGATTTTCATTGCGTAAGGAATTGACCCTAATCTTTTTATAGATGAAAATGAAAACAATACAAAATGTAAAGTCGTGAATATTTCAGGTACCCAGAAGCTGCTGTAATTGAAGTTCATCCCCTCGAGGCTTATTAGCCGACATTACGAAACATTACAGGGCTTTTGCATGTTGTTTTTATTATTTACGTAATTATTGTTATTAGTGTTAATTTTAAATTATTATTGATAAGGTTTCTAAATTTTTTTATAGAAAACCTTCTTATTTTATTTAATACACCATTTTTTAAATTTCCTTCCAGCCGATGCTTCTCTCTTCATGGAAAAAAATCGCCCGCATCCAGCAACCTGCCGTAATCTTTTTGAAATTTATTTGTTTTATTGTCTTTTCAGTTTTCTTAATACAAATTCGTCCGAGTCAAAAGTTTTGGCGAGGGCGCCAACATAAAGCGAATCCAAATATTTTATTTTCTCTGTATTTTTATTTTACTTGATTAATGCCGTGTTGTTGTTGTTGTATTCACACCACACAGACGTACGGACGATTAATTTAGTGCTGGTTTTCTTTTTTTCTGTTTTATTTTGACCCGTTGCCAATTGGTCGGATGCGCTTTGGTAATGTTGCCGCTACTAATAGAGTGCTGCGGTGTCGCCGTTGCTGGCGGCTGCGCCTGTGCCTGCGCCTGGCCCTGCGACCGTTGAAATCGGCAAGAAGAGGCCACGCGAAACTAGCACTGCAGACGCAGACTTATTACTGGTACCATTTGCGCCTTTGCTTTGCATGACAAAATATTTTTATTATTATATTTATACATCTGTACACATAAAAAATAACAAAGCCCCTTAATCATTATATTTTTAATTATTTTTTTTATTTTTATGTTTTTTTGGAAGAAATTAATCTTTTTTTGGATTGTTTTCTTTTTCGTTTTGTTGTGTGTGCATACCTGAATAAATGGCCCTAAATGCTTTTTAAAATAGTACAATCTTTTCATGAATTATGTAAATAATGAGTTTAATAATTAATTTAGAACTCATTTTCAAACCCAAACAAATTACATTAATTAAAAAAATATATATTATATAAAATATATTATCGAATTATCCACAAAATATGTTTCAATAAAATTATCCAGCTTTAACAAATCAACTTAATGACCATGCCTTCATTACATTGCCAAAAACAATACTGTTTATTTCTATAAATTTATAAATTAAAAATAATTGATTATTCAAAATGGATTTAATTTTATGTTTTATAGCATCTTGGTTATTATTTCCACTCGTTGTATTTGTTTTACATTGAATAATACAAATAATAAGTTTAAATAAAAAGTGATAGGTAGTTTAATTAAATTAGTTGATTTTTTTAAAAACAAATTGTTTCTGTCTGGAAAGATCCAACCGTTGCGCACGTACACGATCCTGTATATCTGCCAAAATTGGAACGGAGAAGAGCCACCGTACATCTACTCCATATTGATGTGGCCGACGGCTCTTATGGTAAAAATAAAACCAATTGTAATTCCCTCTTTCGATTTCGTTCGATGTAACAGAATGGCAGGCAGCTTAATATTATGTATTTATTCTTTTTTTGGTTGTTGTGGCCGAATTCAAGTATGTACATGCAGCAGCTTTTCATTTTTTATTAATTTCTAACCATTTTCTAATATTTTTTGTTAATATAAATATCGTACATATCATAACATAAAAATCTCAAAATTACAAACTAATAATTAGGTTTCTTTTAATTATTAAATTATTTTATTATATACATAATAGGTAGTGGTTGGCATCTTATATTATTATTATCTTGAAACAAATTTAATTTTTTTTCATAACTTCCTTTTAAATTATATCTTATAAATTAATTAAGGTGGTGGCACCAGCTTTTTGCCAAATAAGCGTTAAGGTACCAGAGCTTCTTTTTGTCTTGTAATCGTGCTTATTCGAACAACGCTATTTATTATATTGTGATTCGTTTATTTTTTGGGCACAAAACACAATTTTGAAAGGAAAAATTATACGCTTGTAAAAAAAAATAAGTTGATTCGCTTTTTCTCTAGTAGCTTTTTAGGTAACCTATTTTTATTATTAGAAAATTTAAAAAAAAGATATCAAACGTCCTCTGAAGCTTTTGTATTTTGACCAATGGCCACAATTAAATTCCTCTTAGTATTATTACTATAAGTGGCAAACTGCTACCTTATAATTTTTTTCGGAGGAGTTGTTAGCATGTTGTGACGGCTGACAATCGCTTCAATCGTTTCGTTTTCTCTATGCCCGGGGCTTTTCCGCTTTTCTTATTATTATATGTTTCTTTTATGCATGTTCCGGAATCGTCGTGTTATCGATGAGACCAGCCGTCCACGAGTGGGGGGAATTCCAAAGTCGTCGAACGCCCACAAAAAAAATATTAATTTATTTTAAAATCTATCAAAAAAATTTCTTTTTCTCCTATAGAGCCAAGAATCGCAACATCCTAGCAACTACAATTACAGCAAACTCAAATTATTTAACTTTTTACTATATTCGTACTTTTTGCTTCTAATTTTTCCAAAAACGTTTTGCGTTTTTGTATATTTTTCGGTATTACCAAAAGAATCATCACACATTACCCTCCACTTTGAGACCATTTATTATTATTTTTTTTTAGTTTTCGTTGAAGTTTTTTGATTCTTGTTGAAGATGTTCTGTGCTATTTGGAATTCAAACAGATTTTTTTACATATTTTTAAGTTTTGGAAATTTTGCGGAACATTTTCGACTGTGTTTTAGACGTTCTTTTTGTTTATTTTTATTAAGAAATTAAGAATGTGGTATTGTTACTGAATTTATTATTTTTAATTACAGATGGATATGAAATCTGTCGGATCATTTTACTATGACAATTTTGTAAGTACTTAATAATTTAATGGTAAACATTTTTTTTGCAGTTGTATTGGGTGGGGATTAGTTAAGCTGCACATTTTAAAAGTATTAAAGAAGAAACAAATAAAAGCAAAAACTTCAATTCATAGATGCTACCATTCTCTTGTTCGTTTTGGCTTTAACTCTACACATGTTTGATGTCACGACAGCTGATTAACGCTATGATAATGTTCTTTTACCTGTTTTCACTCCTTGTACTAGACTTGTAATACGGTATAATATCTGGTAGTAAATTGTCACCATGTCTTTACCAGTAGTTCATATTTTTTTTATAACGACAGGATATTTCTATTATTTTTTAATATGCAGTTTCATGCTTAAAATATCTAGAATCTTTCTTGACGTCGATCCATTCTTCTTTATGGTAATGCAAAGATATTACCTCATAACTTGTAACCATTACCATCGTGAACACACATGAACATTCGTCATGAAATGTAGGGCCAGAATTTTGTCATCCGTTATGTAACGCCTCTCTTTATCCAAATCACAAATCAACACCAATAGCAAAAAAAAACGTACGTAATACCAATGAACTATTTTTCGAATTGTCATTGTCTGGTAAAATTCACGAAATTCTGAATAGAAGGTACAATAACGCCATTTGTCCTAACGGCAACAAAATCGTCATATAGTTTCCACTTCCAATTTCTGTTTTTCCAGATGATTAACAATTCATGGATCTAATTGTTCATTGCAAACCTCTTTGCCAAAATGTACAAGGTAAACAAAGTAAAGTGTTTTTGTCAAAGTATTATAAACCCTTAAAACGTTGAGTTATTTTGCATTGATAAGACTATTATTGAAGGAAAAGCGCAGACTGGTTTTGGCACCTTTGTTTTTTGACATTCTCAGCATTGGCATTTCCAGGCTATAAATGACGTAATTTTTCCAATAATAAAGTTGGTTCCTAACTTTATTATTGGAAAAATTATCCGGAAAATGTTACAATCGTATTATCTTAGTTTCATATTTAATATGATTCTAAGAGCACACTATTTCTCAGACACCTAGAAGGTTGCTCAAATCGTTATGATTCATAATTCTGGAAAAGGTCAGAAGAAATCACCTCGTATAGACTCATAAGCTTGATATCCATGCTCCCCAAAGTCTTTGACTTACAAGTCAAACTAATGACCTTCTTTCCTGATTCACACTGTTAACTGCTGAAATCTTGTCTGACACACAGACTTATGAAATAGGGTAGTAACTATTCCAATCAAGACCTCGTATTATCAGGAATACCTAAAGGTGTAGTTCTCAGCTCAATAACGTGCCTGTTGTATACATCAGATTTGTTACAATATATGCTGATGACACTGCAGTGTTGGCAACTTACATTGACGCAATATCTGTCTCTAGAAATCTGCAATATCATTTTATCATAATTCAAGAGTGGATAAAAACGTGGCAAATCACAGTCAATGAACATAAATCCAAACATGTCCTCTTTATTATGCATTCATCAACAACAAATACCTAGGTACCTTTACTTCGATAGACGCCTTACATGGCAATACCATATTTTCTCCTAACACAAGCAACAACGTATAAAGCTTAGTAAAATGCACTGAATCATTGGCTATGGTTCTTACCACAGATCATAAAAAGTGTTGAACTTACAATATAGTGAACAAGTGTTTGTCCTCACTAATTTTATGACATCATATTATAATGTGCCAAAATTTGCAAGTTTTGTTAAATTATCATGATTCCCACTGGTCTATAAGACATTTTAAATAAAAATCAACAGCACAATAGAAATTAAAATGATTGCATGAAACCTGGTTTGTGAAAGTACCAGGAAATCACCTTCTAAGAGTAATTTCATCCTGATAGCCAGCGGTTGTGTGGTAATAATGTAAAAGAACATTGAGAGGGAAGACAATCGCCTTTACTGACCTTTTCAGGTTATTAAACCAGTTCAGTGGTTATTTGTTACTTTTGAGTTGCATCCTTTTTTTTGGAAAAATTGAAGATAATCAGCAGCTCTGAGATCCACCTCCGGAATAGAGTTATGAGAGTTCCAATGAATTAATCCCATATACTGGACGAATCTATTTATGGAATCAGGTGTTATTGTCCTCTTCTTAGCCCATCTAATAAAATACATCTCTCACATTTCTTTTATTCGTCCCATAACAGCGACTACATATGCATATAAATAGTCAAAGTTATTTTCCTTGGAACAAGATATTGTCCATATTTCGTCTACTTTAATGAAATTCACAATTTTCTCATATCATTTATGGATAGGATCGGATACACCAAACACCTTCTATTAACATTCTCGCTTCGCGATGACTCAGGTCTCTTAACAAGTTTTCTTAAGGACCTTCAGCGTCGCCTACTTTACGTTTTATGTTTAGGTAATAATTGTATTTTGTAAAAAGATTTCGTTTTCTTTGGACAATTTGAACGGTTTAGCTACCAAAAATTAGCTACCAAAGGTTTATGAATGACAATGATGTGAAATCTGACAAATACTCCAATCCATTTTTTATGAAGCTACAAAATTGTTCTATGTGATAATATACATTATGAATTAAAGTTGGGGAAACTCGGTACAATATTTCGTTGCCATTGTTTCATGATTTGCACTTGAATGGATTGTCAAAACGAGAAGATAAATATGTTAGTGGAAGCAAATTCCAAATTCCTTTTAAGTCCTCTTTTCAACTTTATTTATTTTGTTTATTTTAAACAGTAGTACAATATTTTTCAACAAGTTATTAAATATTGTATCAATAGTTTCAAACACCAGATGTAAATCTGTGGGTGCCTCCAAAGCAATAATTGGCTCACTGTATTTATTTATAATTGGATTATTATTATAGTTGTTGAAAGTTTTAATCCGTTTATCGATACATCCATTGTTTGTACCAGGGCAAATACTTTCTTTTGTAATACCTTCAAACTTTCAAAATTTTTTCCAAACTATTCAAATACGTTGAATTTATCAGGTTCATTAATATATTAAGCAATTTGAAATCAGGGCCGCTATAAACGAATTATTAATATTAAATCAATCCCACGGATGAGAAAGTAAGTTTCCTTTAAATCTATCATTGTAGCGATGATGAAATTTCTTTCACGCTCGTATTTTTAAACTTCCTTTTTCTTTCCAAACCTGTCGGCTATATTTAAATAAACAAGTCTAAAAAAGCCATATCCTTTGTCAATACCAATTTTGATGTCCTAATATTTTTCATTTCAACAATAACGAGATTAAATGTATCATCATCTCATTAAAATTAATGCTTTTTAATAAAGATTTTAAAAGATGAATGCTTTGTAGTTAAACATAAACAATCAGATGATGAGTAGCTTATATTGAGAAAGAAAACTCATATTGGCATATTCAAACATTGTCGGCGAACGACTGTGACTTGATTAACATTGAAGTCATTGATTATTGATGATTTGAATTGGAGATGAAATTCATGACATAATAAAAAATGTCTTAATTATGTTTATCATTTTTTTTACTTAATACTTTTAAAAAGTGCAGTTTATCATATTTCTATTGATTTTGTTATTTTGATTTTTATGATAATTTTCTTTTGAAGGCCTTCCCTGGTATGATGCCATACAAGAGGCCTGCGGGTGATAAGTCAGGCGTACCAGTTTATCAACCGAACGCAACGACCTACCAGCAGTTGATGCAGCTGCAACATCAACCGTTCGTGCCCGTCTCATGTGAGTATACGGCTACTCCCAATCTTCAAATTCCCGCCACTTCTAGCTCCTCCCCTTCAACAGCTGCGGACGCGCAAAGTCCGGTCGTTTCTCAATCTCAAACACAGAGCACCATCGGTAATAGCATTAATAATAATAGCACAAGCAACAGCGTACAACAACAGCAACAACAGACGGCGGTGGCGGCAGCCGCTGCGGCTGCTGCTGCAGCTGCAGCTCAACAACAATCTAATGTTCAAAGCCAATTGGCTGCGATTAAAGAGGCTGGTGATCAACAGCAACAAGTAAACGCCGCGTTAAATTCGATGGCTTCAATCAATACCATGAATTCAATGGCTTCAATGAATACAATGAATACCATGAATACTATAAATTCGATGAGTTCAATAAATTCATTAAATACAACGAGTAGTATTCCAAATGTAACTGACGCGGCGACGATCGCTAAAGAAGTAGCTCATCAAAGTTATGCGAAAGCTGTTAAGTTGGCTGCTGCTGCAGCTGCTAATCAAACGTTAACAGTTGGTAATCCATTAACGAGCCATTTAAATCCTTTGAATTACACGGGAGTTGCGTTAAATAAGCAAACTTTAACACTTCCGGCAGTTACTCAAAGATATCCAGGAACTGCTATACCGATGCCTGCCGCAGCCGCTGCGGCAGCGGCTTCCGTTGGTATGGGTTTAGCATTAAATCCTTACGCAGCGGCGTTATCACAAGCAAATTTGTTAAATATGGGGCGACCGCCTCAAGCTTTTCACATCAACCCTTATGTATTGAGAAATTCATATCCGGGGGCGGCGGCGGCATCGGCTGCAGCTGCAGCGGCGGCAGCAGCGCAACTTCACGCGGCTCCCCAACTTTTAACTCCAGGGTTAATCGCCGCCTCACAATATCAGTCGGCTGCGGCCGTTTCGTCACCTATTTCGAACGTTGGTGCACCAACAGCAAACATTTCCGCCGTTCAAAATAACAATAATAATAACAATAATAACAATGTTGTCTTGCCACCGTATAAGAAATTGAAAACAGATAATTTCTAGGTGTGTTCGCAAAGAAATGATTGGAAATTTGTAATCAAGAAATTCTAAATGTCTTGTTAAACGTTAAAAAGAAAGGTTTTATTTTATATAAATCAAAGTACAAGTTTTCATAAATTTATTACCGATTAAATATTACTTGTTCGTTTTTCTTATCTCCTAGAGGTGAGATAATAATTGTTCCTTTTTTGTGTTTAAGTTTAGGTGTATCACATATATTACTATTACATAGCTTGCATTTTGCAAAAATTGAATTGTAACACAAAGTCTTCCGTAGACTCTCAAGTTAAATTTATTTATTATACGCACAATGCTTCATGATACGTACACATCGACATTTTTGATTCATTCTTAGTAAAATAATATTTAAAATTTCCAATTTTTCATATGCGATTTGCTTCTAAAAAAAGAAATATTTATTGTATAAACGGTACGCATAGCTTTCCTATGGGTTACGCAAACATTTCGTGCAATCCCAAAAAAGTTTTAAGAAAAAAAAGAAATACTACAAGTCTTTAGATGATCTAGTCAAAATTTGTGTCGTTTCTATTTGCCACCCTAAAGATAAAGTGAGTGCCTCCGTTCTGTGATAAAACGAGTAAAAAAAGAAGAATTAAAAATACAAAAAAATAAATAAAATAAAAAAAAAGTCGAAGCAAAAATTGAAATTCATATATTCCCGAATTGAAAAATTTAATTTAATACGGGTTGACGATGAAAAATGGGAATGTAAAAAAAATAAGATTAATAATTATGTCGTCGCTGTTCGTCTGTGTTTGTACATGTTGTACGTTGTTGTTTTAAAGAAAACTAAAGAAAAAAGAAGAACTTTAAAAGTGCTCCTCCATATAGATTTAAAAAAACATCTTCCTAAAAAAATCTTGTTTTGGAAGATCGTTAAAATTAATGCATAAAAATAAATTGCGTGCATGGTGAAAAATTACCTTTGATGCTGTAACATAAACGAAAATAAAGGCATAATTACGATAAAGAGAAAATATATAAACCGCATGGTAGTAGAGGTTTCTTTTTGAAAAGAGCATTGTATCCGTTATTTTTTCCTTTTTGTTGTTATATAATTTAGTGCCATTTTTGCTACAATAGGTATCGAGTTTTTTGTAGATTTTTGTTGATTTGTTAACCGACCCAAAAAGAAATATTTCTTACCTTCTCTCGTTTTATTTTTAATTTAAAAAAATTTTTCTTTTTTATTTTTCAAAGAAAAACTGTTTTTTATTATTAAATTATTACAGCTCTATACGTGTTATATAGATATTGGGTGTTTGTATGTCATTGTTTGTTGCAGTTATTTAATTTTTATTATTATAGAAAATTAAAACGTAAAAGCGAGATCGAAATTTCGATTTATTAAAATGAATTTATTATTATTACTTGTCGTTGTACTTGCATGCTTCTTTTTTGGGGCTTGTAAACCACCGTGTTAGATAAAAATTTTGTACCTTTTAAGTTGCATGTCGCCAAAAGAGACCGCAACGTCTCTTTTTGGGTTGGGTGCCAGCCTACATAATTTTACTATTGATTAAAACAAAAAAATGTATTTTTATTATTTTGACTTTTGTTACTCCTCGTATAAAAAAATAGTGTAGTGCTCAAATCCAACAAATTTATAAAACGGGTCAACCTCGAGGAATTATTTTTTTTTTTATTATTTTCTCATCGCTTTTTGTTTGTGCCTTAAATCCATTTCAATATTTTTCCAAAAATTAAATAATCAAACAACTAAAAACGTACCTTTATAATTTAATTATTTAATTGTAATTTATTTTTAGGTACTTTTTTAGTTTTAATAGTTTATGAAAACTAATTTTTTAGTTATAATCGCTTCATAACATTGATGAAACTGCTTCTATTCGCTTTTATAGTTATAAACTGTTGCGAGAACCATAAAAATTTATAGTACACTAACTTTGACCTTAGGTACTCGTATATTTTTGCTGTATTTTTGCACTGCACCTAAAAACAGTGTGTTTTTGGTAGTTTTGTTCTATTAGTTGGTAAGGTACTTTTAATATAACTACAGAGTTTTTTTAAGATAATAATGCCAATTTGTAACGACTGTCGCTTAGCGTTAGTCAGTGGTCTTCCTAAGTTATCTGATCTCACATGCACAAAAGTTTTTTTTTTATTGCTTTTATTTTTTTTTTCTCGTTTTTTTCTTTTATTTCTTTTCATTTTGATAAAAAAGAAACTATGAAACGCCAATTAAACATTTCATAAAAGCCATCCTAAATAAACGTCTTATAGTAACACAAATTTACAAAAATATCGGTTTAAATTTGGTCACGAGAAAGGATTTTTAGATTTTTTCAGACTCAGATTTTAGAGGTAAATTAAATTATTTTTAGCAATTCTCTAATGAAATAAAATTTTTTATTGCTTTGTGAACACTTTGATCAAAGAATTTGTGGCAATTCTTTACATTGATACATGATATTTGTAAACATTAAAATCACTAATTTTCTATGTGGATGACATCATTTTCTTTGACCGCGTTTTTCCAAGAAAATAATTTGCTTTAAATATTTTTTTAAATTTATTCTTTGATCTTTTATCGATTTAATATTAAAATATGAAACGAAGTTAACACAAATATATCAATATTAATAATATTGATATTGTGCAAACTCAATTATTACTCGAATCAGTCAGCGCATCAACAATGTCACGAATAATTTCCTCAATGCCTTCATTGTTGGAATATTACTTCAATCAATATTAACAAATTCTGCATGCAAATACTATCTTGGACTATCTCTAACACTCCAAATTTTGATATTACAAAATTGCTTCTATATTCTCTCTAACACTACCTATGAACTAACTTCTTATTTCCGAAGAATACCCGAATTAGGACGAATTAGGAATTTCCGAATTAATCTAAAGTTATAAAATCCAAAGTATGTGCACTTAAAAAGTTTTAAATTATATACAATTATCTACATCTATCAATAATTTTCTAGGAAATTGATGAACAATTTCTGAAATTTTTTAAGATCATATAAAGTAAGTAAGGAATTCCACCTGGAGTTAGGGTCCAATCAAAATTTACCGAGACACTTTGATAGACTTAAAAAAAAAAATCCTTGAAACTGCCTCTTCTTTAAAATATTTTTAGAATCATATGGAATCAATTAGAAACACACAGAATCGAAAATTGCTCGAAGGTGCTCACCATCATTACTTCATTACTACAAGTTGAGTGTAAAGCACGGCCAACAGACTAGGCCATTGTTGCAAAATCCAGATATTGGAAATAGTAAACCATCAAAATTATAATCTGCGCGCGTTCATTGGTATCGAGTATCACGAATATTCTCGTCAGATAATCCCCACTTGATTGAAGTTTATAGAGCTTCGTACCCATCTTCTTCTGCAGTTCCAACACTTCCATAAATTATCGCTAGAATAATTAACCAACAAAATTTTAATTTTGCAATTTAATTTTGACAAAGACATAAAATATTTCTTTTAGAGTACCAAATTTTTAAAATTTTTGAATCATAGGTTCAGGATTCTAAATTTAGGAGCTTTTAGCCAGCTGAAGCAACGTATACCTTCATAACTTTTGAGTTTAAATTGTGCTAATTGTGAAACGGCGGCCAAAAATGACCCAGGCTTTGTGAGGTTGGGGAAAAATCTGCTAAACAGACTTAGGATATTGAGCGACCAGATAGTGTGGGGTTTAAACTCATTGTTGAATCTCCGACCCAACAAAAAACCCTTTCGTCGTCTTCTGCAAAACATTCGAAACTACTTTGGAGTGAATCTTCTGATCTTCTTTCATTTTTTTCTACTTCTTTCTTTTTGTTCTTGTTATCTTCTCTCTATATTTTCTTTCGCACTCTGTTCTTGCACTACTAAATTCTTCCCATAAAAATAAAATATGCTAAAACCGATACAGTACTTCTTCAAAACCAGCATTCTTCAGATTCTGATTTC